TATAAAACACATGCACACACATCCTACTCCTATGAACACGTTCAAGATACTGAGCCGGCACACACCTCACTACTACAGATCCGAATAACACCGGTCCCTCATCATTGCTGAGCCACTGATCACTTGTTAGTGATGAGCATTATCGGACAACGGAGAGGCCGTTAGGCAGGCGGAACTGGTGAATTGGAGAACGCAGAGGGCGTCCGATTGAGGGTGTGGTTCAGGGAATCGTCGTGCGTGGATCGGTGGTGCATTGCATGCCAAATGAAACAAACAAGGAGGACGTATTACTGGTCTGGCTACACATATAGCGTATATTCTACTCCCTCGATTCCTAAATACTCCCTGGGCATAGCCCAGTGGTTGGGGGCGCATGATTGTAAACCTAACGACCAGAGTTCGATCCACGTCGGGGACGAATTTCTGGAATTCTCATGAGGGATGCTTCTTCTATATCAATAAAACCGTGGGTGCTAGTGCCCATGGAGTTTCATTTTTTTTTCTAAATACTCCCTCCGTTCCCAAATAATTGTCTTTCTAGCCATCTTAAATGGACTACAACATACGGATGTATGTAGACATGTTTTAGAGTGTAGATTCACTCATTTTGCTCCGTATATAGTCACTTGTTGAAATCTCTAGAAAGACAATTATTTAGGAACGGAGGGAGTATAAGTTTTTTTTAGCTAGCTAGGGCATGCGTGTGCTATGCAAGGACGATCGGCCGATGCAGATAGCTACTTAATCAGATTCGACGTGATGAAACGGCTACGGAGACCACATGGTATATGTTGTAAGCAATTTCATATTTGAAATTATGCAGTTGAGTTATGAGGCTTTATTTAAGTGGTGATCTAGATAATAATATAGAATAGAAGTAAATGAAAAATACAAAATCAAAAAAGGAAACGGCTACGGAGGCATCGGCATTTGTCAAACAGCTATATTTGCGCTTGGCATGGCATGTGACAATGCAGATGGATGGATGTGGATGGGTACGTGAACGTACGTGTACTTGATTAATCACAACTTATCCACTTGTTTAAGCTCCTGCGTGACGCGCGAGCCGATCCATGCATGCATCCGAAAACAAAATCGTCCTGGTCCTGGATGCTAGCTGCCATCGATCGGCATCTCGCTCCGGCCGTAGTTGATGGGATCGATGAGACCTACCTCAGTTGATCGATCGAGTTAGCTTGCTGGTGGATGAGGGTTGACTCGATCTCAGATCCAGATTGTTGACCCCCCGCTTGTATATCATTAATTTCTTTTGGAAAAGTCAGCATGAAAGGGCATTTGGTCTAGTGGTATGATTCTCGCTTAGGGTGCGAGAGGTCCCGAGTTCAATTCTCGGAATGCCCCCATTGTTTTTTTGCCATTTTTACATACGGTAGATTTTGTTTCCTATCGTAGAGCTAAGCGAATCAGATGCCATGAACATCAATATCCGTCAAGTAACATCGCATTCGGAGATATATATACCCTTCTCTACAAGGAGACGAGGCTCTTGTGCCGATTGAGTGAATCTATCACATTTGACGTTCTAGTTGGTTTAAACTTGGCTTTCCACCTTAATATGCAACTGCTATGTACTACCTCCGTAAACTAATATAAGAGCGTTTAGATCACTATTTTAGTATTCTAAACACTCTTATATTAGTTTACAGAGGGAGTATCACTGTTTTTTTTGGATGCCCTTCTTTTCTGTCGGTAGGGACCGGAAGGGCTGGTTTCTGAAAAGTCTCGGAAATTTTTGCCCTATTAGCAACACAAAATGCGTGTGGCCACACTATCAATGTACCTCGTCTCTTCACACAGGTCACCAGTCCAAATTTTGTTATGTACCTAGTTTTTTCC